ACAACAGAACGGTACCTTCAGTAGTTGCAACATGATCCGGATTTTTTTGTTTGTTGTTTTATTAAAAACCAAGTTTATTAGCATACTGAACTCCAATGGACTGCGGTGGTGTCGTCACGGACACATCGTTACAGGAGAAATATTTATATATTCTAGCAATATTTGGATATGCACTCTGCGATGCTTTTATACCTACCCATATATTTTTCTGAATTCTATGATCCTTAAATGTACCCATTCCGTCTAACCTTTAATTTGTGTTACACTGAATATTACGTCATCCTTTTCCAACGAAGGCGTATGAAGTCAATCTACTTGACGCCAATTTTTTTAAGTCCTAACGAGTCTATAGTATGCCGCAGAGTAGTATTTATTATACGAGAATGCGTTTTTCTGTTCTTCAAAATATAAACTTGCGGCTAGGTCAGATGCATAGTCTACGTTCGTACGCGTTCACCAGATGACAGCAACAACACAGCAACCACATGCCCGCTTGTGCGAGGTGAGGACATCTGATACATCCTAGACACCGGATGAAAAGCCAAGCGAGTACTGAGATCGGATTTCATAAAAGAACGCCCACATTTTTAAACTGGTGGACATATGTATATACAGGGTGGCGCAAGGGAATTGAAATACCTTTAAAATAAGGTATCACTCGACCCCCCTTTCCATTTAAGATTTTAGGGTTGGTGTCACCCCCGCCCAGGGGGCTGCACGTGTTAACGTGACTTTTTGCGAAACTTGTGTCCCACTCGAAAACAAAATCGACGGGTCTGAGCGTTTTTCCAAAAAAAAAACTGAGCTTCCAGTAAATGCGTCTGTTTCGTTTTCGATGCGCCACCCTGTATATATATATCATCCTATACGAAAACAACAACATACTACTGTAAGTTGATTCAATTTAAATTCATTTTACACTTTTGTTGCTACTGTTATCATTGTAATTGCAGCTCCTGATGATGATGGCAAAGTCCATTGAAAGCTAGAGAGAATTAAAAAAGTATAAAGAGTCCTCTTTGCTCAAATTTTGTCGAAGTACCCAACAAAAGGCGGAAGGTTTAATTTTTCACGTAACTGGTCTAGACGACAATGACCACGTCTCAAGATATATATATATATATATATATATATATATATATATATATATATAATTTCTCATTCTTAGAATTTTTCGGGCAAGTGGCGCGGAAAGTAAATGTATAAACAAACGCTATAGGATTGTCGAACACTACGCCAAAATTCACTACATTTGTACACCAGTGTAATTATCGTAGATACGTGCAACGCACGTCTGTAAAAGCGCAACAAGGTGGAATGTGGGTTTCGCCTCCTGGCAAAAAAGAGCATGTAATAGCATGGAGGCCTGCCATAATTATTACCGACTATCTTTGCTATCTCTCCGAGTGTGTGTAGGCTTTGCAATGTTCGCGTTTCTCCAACTACAGAATAATGTACGTAGATGTGGAGCACACTCGTAGATACATACGTTCGAGTATGTCCTGGATAACGAACGATACTGTTATGCGTGGGTATACACTGTGCGAAAAAAAAACGAAGAAAATTGAATAGAATATGATTAGCTTGATTCGGTGCTCTTCCAACTCGGATCTTTTAAAAGTCTAAACACATATTAATTCTGTAGTAATTGGCTTTTAGACAATAACAATAATCTTTATTTGCAAATACAAATGCTATCCAAAAGCCACTTGTGATACAAATAGCGTCAACCAAACAAAACTAACGATAACGTCTTGCATATTATTAATAAATTTATACATCTGGTGAAAGTTTAGACAATTGTAAAAAGGTCCTTTTTCAGATAACGCTAATCTATTATTATTAACTGTGAGTAATCGCTTATTTTTAGATAGATATACACTGCAAATCAAATACCTTTGACGTGGTAATGTGTACGAGAGAAAAGCGTGCAATTCGTGTGTTAGAAAGAGATAGAAGCACCTCGTTGCCTAGCAACCAAGTATGAAGTCACAGAAGCCATCGCATACTCCTTCTAACATACATATTGCATGCTTATCGCACACATTACGGTATCAGCCAAATTTGAATCTCACCATATGAGACACTCTCGAATAAATACTCCAAGAACTGTTAAAATACCGAACCACTGGAATTGTGATTTATTTAACTTCAAACCCAAACTATTTCTCAAAGCTCTCTTTATTATTTCAAAAGTTTCATCAAAGTCACTAGAGTTTCCGAATAACATAACCATACCTTGATTCAAGATTCAAAATTTAAATGTTTCACACAAAGTTTTTGTATCCGAATATTTAGCAATCATTCTTATAGAATAACATACATTATCAAGCTTATTTCTTATGGTTGCCCCAAATGATGTAACTATTTAATTCAAGACCAAGAAATCTGGTAAAACTGTCAGACACTGTAATTGTTGTACCACTGAATTTTGAAAATTATCATGTTATTGAAAATCAGGTTTATGCAATATCCCTCCTCATCACATCCATTCTCAGGATCTGTTGCAGTTATTAGCAAAGCCGATTTTTATAGTAATTTGTGGCATTGTTTTTTGTATTCCGTACATACTTTATTCTGGGACACCATGTATGTTATAAGTCAAGGGGATGAAGCATGCACATGCGATTATCTATTACACCAGCTATTATTTTTTCTTTCCTGAAAACGCATGTTTTTGTTTTAAATAGCAGAACATCTGCAAATGGGACGTCTGATTTGGTCAGACAAACTCAGCCCTACATAAAAGCTGGCTTTTAAACTCACCTTCATGTCTTGTATGATATGCTGGAAAAGTCCACCTAAAGCTCCTGATTCCTTCTCCATGCTGCCTTCCATTATATCACATCCACAGTCAATGCACAGATATTTTTATCACTGCTAGTCCAACATTTAACAAAATAACTAATGTTTACAGTCACCAAACAGTCTGCTGTATTTCTTGGCCGATCATTCTTAAAAAAACGAGTCCATCTCTGGGTGAACGACAAAAACCGCATGAATACGCATTTAAACAAAGTTGTCCGAGGATCGTTTCACTTTATTCCATTCAGAGATTTTGTTATTAAGCGAGAAAAACACTTCTATCGGTCGGAAAAGCTGGAACTCACACCCGCGCGGCCACCATTACGACATATCGCCTTGTTTTCTTTACGTTTAGTGAATAGTGATCCCTTTTCCCCTTCTACTTCAAACGCGAGACACTGAACATTTACCCCAAGCTTTAATATCTTTATCGCCACCTCTTGACGAAAATTCCGCGAGCTTTAAAAAGCTTAATAACTGTCTACTATAAAACTAGGAGCTTAAGGATTCAACCACTAGATGGCAGCGCTATTTCGTTATGGTAAACCTGTCATGTCGCCCTCAAAGCAGATCTAAATTCGCTGGATCACCGTTTAATTTTGAATGTTTTTTCCATTTAAGTTAACCATTGTTTTTTCTAAGCTTATTACTTGTGAGTTTTATGAAGCTGGGTCTTGAGTACATATGAAATGTGCTTTAAAATTAGCACTTTGCGGTAAGCCTCGGGTTAAAAGAGAAATTGACAGCAGTACTCAGTAGAGTCATGCCATCTACTGGAGAAATGTATGGATTACAAAATGTCCTCAGCAGTTTTCTCTATCATTTACTGGACTAAAATATAGTTCGAATATCTTTTAATAGATGTCACTCTTGCGTTAATTTGTATTGCCATCTATCGGCATAGCATAGTACTAATATTTATCAATTTTGAAACAGCTTTCTTTTTTAAAGTTTCCTTGCCAGTAAATGCCGTATATACTATGAATCTTTAACTGGAAATCCTATAGATGGACCATTTATGAAAAAACGATAGTTACTTATGTTACTAGGGTTTTAACAAACATTTGTGGCCCGTAGTGTGAAATTAAGCTACTAAAAGTACGTCATAATGACTTCGGAATTTAGTGAAAACTCGTCAATTGACGTTATTGTTCCAAATATCGACGTCGTAATGACGTCTCCTAAATGCCCAATTGCGTACGTGTTCTGCAAGACGTCGTTATTACGTGCTTTTGAGGTCATATATAGTTTTAAATGTACTATGTTTTTGTTAATTTAGAACCAATCTATCCGATTCAAAACGGATGGAGGGCAGATAAATAACTATCCATCCCTCATCGACATTCACTTAAAGCGACTTAATAGTTGTTTGAAAGGACATTATTAAGGTGTCGCCAAATGTTACCGTAGGATGTGCCATTTACGATCTAGTATTACAATTTAAAGTCTATGGTGCTCCACTAGTAACACAATATATGAGTTTTTGGACAAGCTAAAACTGGTTATTAATTATAAATAATAGACGTCATGTTTACGTCCAGCAAGTGACGTATTATTGACGTCTGTTATATGACGTCATCGATATGTGATACTAAAAAGTCATTTTCACGTTATTTTATTTTAAAATACCAAATACAATCGATATGACGTCTGTTTGACAAAGACTTATTAAACAAAATGGCCGAACCTTTGCCGAACGGTGATCACGCATGGAGTTTGGACATCGGTTGAGCTCGCCGCCAAACACAATGCTTCTTCGCTGATGATCGTTTTACAATTTGAATTTTTATTAGTATTTCGATATCTAGTTTACCTTAATGTTTATTAAAAGCCTATATTTTCTTTGCAGGTAAGTGTTGATTTTTCAGTACCTACTGTCTTAAAAAGACGTCTTGTTCTAGTCATAAACATGGCGTCAATAAAGACGTCATTTTTTAGTCAATGACGTTTCCAACCAAAAGTGACGGATTAATGACGTCATTTTGGCGTCACCATGGTCACTGGGATTGCTTTTTGATATTCAATGTGAACATACACCTATAGTAAATGAAAAAAATTGTAGCTGCAGGCGACCATAATATACGAATTAGCTTTGCTAAGCAGTAAATTTGAGAAACGCGGTGAAACGGGAAATAAATATATGATATAATTATGAAGTGAATATTATAATCGCTCGGAGGAAAATCACAAACTCATGTCTTTCCAAGTATTTATTAAAACCACTGCTATTATTTACATCCTATTTTAGATTCATTAATTTCTTTTTCTAGATCTTTTAAAGCTTTCTTCTCTATTATTTTAATCCTATTAATCCGACTGGCTTTCATTCCATACTGTTGCCTCTTCTTCAAGAGCTCTAACTAAATAAACGAAAGTACGTTAACGTCAATCAATAATAATAGTAGCAGATATATACTAAGTGACATATAAATCCGAACACCCAGTTTAAATGGTTTTATTTTAATAAAATTTTGTATAAGTAAAAATTTCAAAATGATTGCACTGCTTTAAAGCCCTTTGACCTTTATAATGTGTGGATGCACCCTGATGTGCTACGCATTCTCCAACGCGCCTAGGCATGCTTTTGATCAGGTGGTCAATGTCCTCCTGTGGTATCTCATTCCAGGCAACCACCAACTCCTCTCGAAGTGCTTCTAGAGTCTGAGGAGGATGTTGCAAATTGAGCAATCTCCTACCCATCATATCCCACACGTGCTCAATTGGGGATAAGTCGGGAGATCTTGGTGGCCATGGTAACAATGTGACATCATTATGTTGAAAGAAGTCTATTGTGACTCTTGCAACATGTGGTCTGGCATTATCTTGTTGGAAAGTTGGAACTGCCAGGGTGTCAAGATAGGGTAAAAGATGGGGTTCTAGAACTTCGTGGATATAACGCTGCGCGTTCATGTTACCTCTGATGAAGATTAAAGGTGACCTGGAACCATAAGCTATAGCACCCCAAACCATAACTCCAACAGTGTGATGAACATGTCTTTCAACAAAAAACTGTGGATTCCTCCTTTCACCACGTCGCCTTCTAACCCTGGCACGACCATCGTGCATGCCTAAACAAAATCGAGACTCGTCACTAAAGACAATACTGTTCCATTCCTGATCCCAGAGTGACCGTTGTCTGCACCACTCAAGGCGATTACGTCGGTGTTCTCGAGTTAAAGGGAGGACCCAGTGTGGCCGGTATGAAAACAAGCCAAAACTTCTCATTCGTCGGTAAACACTTCGCATGCCAATAGGTCTTCCGTGTTCTGCAAACCATTCATTTGCAATGGACCTGGTAGTGGAGAAACGGTCCCTTAAGGCCAATAATCTTAGCCGGCGATCTTCACGGTCCGTTGTTCTACGGCGGCGTCCAGTGCCCCTTGCTCTTTGCGTACGGCATTCTCGAAGCCATGCCTGACAACACCTAATCACAGTGTCTACACTTCTTTGCACTCTAACTGCAATTGCCCGAAAAGAAAGTCCAGCTTCCCGAAGTACCACTATGCGGCCCCTATCAAACTCACTAAGTTGACGAAATCGTACAGGTCTCCGTACTCTAGGCATCGTAACCGATCGTAAAGGATGTCAAGAACCAAAATCCGCCAACGTTGATTCTTTACTGCGGCTGAAATATTCATTTTTGGAGCGTTAGTGAATTAAAAAAAAGCAGTATAAAAACCGGAATGTCCAACTGATAAGGCTGAAAATTTTTTCACTTGTTATTTACAGTAAGATAAATACATTCACCAACTTTTATTAAAATAAAACCATTTAAACTGATGATAAAGGATGGCGAAAAGAAGAGTACGTAGATGGATTCTTTTCACATTTTTATAATTATTTTTATTTGTCTGGACAGTGGTATGTTACCTTATCAGTAGGTATAACTTGACCTAGTTTCCCTAGAACAGGTACGTTTGTTGTTATTGTCGTAGATGAACGTTTTTTGTGACCGCTAAATTGGTATTTTGACTGAATTGTTGTCGGCTCACAGTCTGTCTCTTTGTATGTGTTTAAATTACTCAGCGATAGGGCAAGGTCTTGATCTCTGGAAGAATTACGACTGAAAGAATAGAAAGTCAACTAATAGAAAAATAACATAAAAAACTCTTAACCACAACTCCTAAATTCAAAATTGTATTGTGACCATAAAATCATCAAAGCTATTAGAATTACGGAAGCCTTTTTAGACAATATGAACTCTAGACTTTGTATGATTTTTTGAAAGGTTACCTGGAAGACAATCCCTGGTATCCGCTTTTGATGTAAATCGAGTCAACGTTATCATCGAAATCCAAGCAACAACTGCTAATAGTTTGCGTATCTTGCTGAGCGTTTGAAATGTCCAAACTAAATCTCTTCCGAAAGATATCTAAATACGATTTGCTTTTGAGCCTGCATTGAGAGTACTCCTGGGGAACGGGCTTGTTTGGAGACTTCTTTTTTCTGGTTAATGCGGATAAATGCTGCAAGAGCAAAAACATGACAAAAAGAGTGTTCAAAATCAAAGGTAATGTATGTATGTCCTAAAAGTTTTGCCACAAAGTATACTAAGTGACATATAAATCCGAACACCCAGTTTAAATGGTTTTATTTTAATAAAAGTTGGTGAATGTATTTATCTTACTGTAAATAACAAGTGAAAAAATGTTTAGCCTTATCAGTTGGACATTCCGGTTTTTATACTGCTTTTTTTTAATTCACTGACGCTCTAAAAATGAATATTTCAGCCGCAGTAAAGAATCAACGTTGGCGGATTTTGGTTCTCGACATCCTTTACGATCGGTTACGATGCCTAGAGTACGGAGACCTGTACGATTTCGTCAACTTAGTGAGTTTGATAGGGGCCGTATAGTGGGACTTCGGGAAGCTGGACTTTCTTTTCGGGCAATTGCAGTTAGAGTGCAAAGAAGTGTAGACACTGTGGTTAGGTGTTGTCAGGCATGGCTTCGATAAGGCCGTACGCAAAGAGCAAGGGGCACTGGACGCCGCCGTAGAACAACAGACCGTGAAGATCGCCGCCTAAGATTATTGGCCTTAAGGGACCGTTTCTCCACTACCAGGTCCATTGCAAATGAATGGTTTGCAGAACACGGAAGACCTATTGGCATGCGAAGTGTTTACCGACGAATGAGAAGTTTTGGCTTGTTTTCATACCGGCCACACTGGGTCCTCCCCTTAACTCGATAACACCGACGTAATCGCCTTGAGTGGTGCAGACAACGGTCACTCTGGGATCAGGAATGGAACAGTATTGTCTTTAGTGACGAGTCTCGATTTTGTTTAGGCATGCACGATGGTCGTGCCAGGGTTAGAAGGCGACGTGGTGAAAGGAGGAATCCAGAGTTTTTTGTTGAAAGACATGTTCATCACACTGTTGGAGTTATGGTTTGGGGTGCTATAGCTCGTGGTTCCAGGTCACCTTTAATCTTCATCAGAGGTAACATGAACGCGCAGCGTTATATCCACGAAGTTCTAGAACCCCATCTTTTACCCTATCTTGACACCCTGGCAGATCCAACTTTCCAACAAGATAATGCCCGACGACATGTTGCAAGAGTCACAATAGACTTCTTTCAACATAATGATGTCACATTGTTACCATGGCCACCAAGATCTCCCGACTTATCCCCAATTGAGCACGTGTGGGATATGATGGGTAGGAGATTGCTCAATTTGCAACGTCCTCCTCAGAGTCTAGAAGCACTTCGGGAGGAGTTGGTGGTTGCCTGGAATGAGATACCACAGGAGGACATTGACCACCTGATCAGAAGCATGCCTAGGCGCGTTGGAGAATGCGTAGCACATCAGGGTGCATCCACACATTATTAAAGGTCAACGGGCTTTAAAGCAGTGCAATTATTTTGAAATTTTTATCATTTACTTATTATGCTTCATTAAGTACTTATACAAAATTTTATTAAAATAAAACCATTTAAACTGGGTGTTTGGGTTTATATGTCACTTAGTATGAATAAAAATCGCTCAACGCTCGTTTTTTGAAGTTTCACATGATCATGGTCAAGGTCATAGAAATTCGACAAAAAATTCTATGAATTTTCAGGGAGTTAGACTTGCTGTGCCAAAGCTCTTACCTTATCTAAATTTATTTCCGTTTTACATGTAGCTTTATCGTAGTACGGTATGATATCATCCTCTGTTATTTCATCATTATCATTTTTCGGCAATAGTTTCATCGACGGTGAAGATTCGGCAAAATCGTAAATCTCTTCTACGGAGTCGAAATAATGCTCTGATCCGGAATCCATAAACTAAAAAGTTAAAAGCGCGGTGGAAAAACTCGTCAAAGGACTGTCAATTTTTAGTTGATGTGACAGAAGTATAGGTTGGGAATGCCTTTCAAAATTGGACTGCGTTGTGTGTACGGGACATTTGGCAGCTGAATGCTTATTCTACATCAAATGTATGGACAGATCTAAGGTTCATGTAAAAAATGGCGTCAAGTGGGTTGACTCTGCAATTTCTACGTTAGGAACATGTAGAATAAATAAATTAAACGGATTAAGTTAATCAGCATACTCATACACATACAATTAGCCCGTAGACATTATTTCTCCGCCCTACTGGTAGTTACCGACCATGTGGCAATGTTGTCCCTTTCCACATCAAGTCTAATAACTAAATTTACAAAAATCCGTGGGGCCTAGTTCATTGCTTTCGTAAATATGGGCCATTTTTTTCGGACAAAATAATCAGACAAATGAAAGTATACGCACTATTAAAAGATTGATACAACTGATCGTACCAAAGACTCGTATATGAAAGCCATACAGTAACACAAAATATTTGCCAAATTTAGATAAAAGATAAGAGTAGTAAACAAAAAAACGCTATGATCTTACACGCACTGGTCGAGAATATTAAAAAAATCTGTATAATAACATTCTTATTTTCTTAAATTTTTAATCTTTTACTATTTCATTATGCAACTTTTATATAGGTGATTTGTGGTATAGTCCTACAAGCAGTTGACATAAATGGCTCTGAAAATAAGCTGTATATTGAGATTAAAATAAATCATATACCCTCGCCCACCCCTACAACGTTAAACTCCCAAATTTCTACCCCTACAAAAATTTTTGTGAAAATAATCAGGAGCTTCTACGCCGCCAAGAGTCCAAGTTTGGTGGATCTTTATTTTTTTCGTTTTTGGTCTTTAATTTCAGCCATCACCAAGCCGATTTTCAAGAACTATAAAGCTTTTTCATCCTTGGCATAGTGTTACCTTCTGTGAAGATTTTATCAAAATTCGAGCAGTACCAACAAACATAATATCTCAATTTAGAAATGTTTTGCTATTATACTAAGTGACATATAAATCCGAACACCCAGTTTAAATGATTTTATTTTAATAAAAGTTGGTGAATGTATTTATCTTACTGTAAATAACAAGTGAAAAAATTTTCAGCCTTATCAGTTGGACATTCCGGTTTTTATACTGCTTTTTTTTAATTCACTAACGCTCTAAAAATGAATATTTCAGCCGCAGTAAAGAATCAACGTTGGCGGATTCTGGTTCTTGACATACGATGCCTAGAATATGGAGACCTGTACGATTTCGTCAACTTAGTGAGTTTGATAGGGGCCGTATAGTGGGACTTCGGGAAGCTGGACTTTGTTTTCGGGCAATTACAGTTAGAGTGCAAAGAAGTGTAGACACTGTGGTTAGGTGTTGTCAGGCATGGCTTCGAGAAGGCCGTACGCAAAGAGCAAGAGGCACTGGACGCCGCCGTAGAACAACAGACCGTGAAGATCGCCGCCTAAGATTATTGGCCTTAAGGGACCGTTTCTCCACTACCAGGTCCATTGCAAATGAATGGTTTGCAGAACACGGAAGACCTATTGGCATGCGAAGTGTTTACCGACGAATGAGAAGTTTTGGCTTGTTTTCATACCGGCCACACTGGGTCCTCCCTTTAACTCGAGAACACCGACGTAATCGCCTTGAGTGGTGCAGACAACGGTCACTCTGGGATCAGGAATGGAACAGTATTGTCTTTAGTGACGAGTCTCGATTTTGTTTAGGCATGCACGATGGTCGTGCCAGGGTTAGAAGGCGACGTGGTGAAAGGAGGAATCCACAGTTTTTTGTTGAAAGATATGTTCATCACACTGTTGGCGTTATGGTTTGGGGTGCTATAGCTTATGGTTCCAAATCACCTTTAATCTTCATCAGAGGTAACATGAACGCGCAGCGTTATATCCACGAAGTTCTAGAACCCCATCTTTTACCCTATCTTGACACCCTGGCAGATCCAACTTTCCAACAAGATAATGCCCGACCACATGTTGCAAGAGTCACAATAGACATCTTTCAACATAATGATGTCACATTGTTACCATAGCCACCAAGATCTCCCGACTTATCCCCAATTGAGCACGTGTGGGATATGATGGGTAGGAAATTGCTCAATTTGCAACGTCCTCCTCAGACTCTAGAAGCACTTCGAGAGGAGTTGGTGGTTGCCTGGAATGAGATACCACAGGACTACATTGACCACCTGATCAGAAGCAAGTATATATATATAGTGAAATAAAGTTAACGCCCCAGCTTCTACCTCCAGTACTTTTTAAGTTGAAGTAAATGAGACTACAAAATACTCACTAATATTCGAATATATCCGAGGATTTACTCGTGAATATTTAGTTAATTCAAAGAGTCGTCTAGGTATACAAAATTAGGTATAGAAAACAAATTTTCCCAAAACCGTTATAATTCTTCTCTGACTTTATCTGTTGCGGGACAAAATAAATTGCACATTAACACTGCCACTTTTCCTCCTCTACAAAATAGCATGATTAGAATTTCAATATGACGTTTCACCCCTAGTCCACCAGCATCAACTTTTCGTATAGACGGATTTTTTGCACAGATGAATAAAGTTTTCAATTCTGATTCCAGAAATGTACCTAACATGTAATATATTGCCAAACCTTAGTTATTCCAGGAAAACAGAAGTTCCTAGGTAGGCCTTGAAATTATCAGATTTCATTTGTTTCAAGACCTATAGTGTCCTTTTATATAGGGTGACGCATTGCGATTTAATCAGCGACATGAGAACAGTAACGTGCATCGCAAATATGTTCTAGAACTTGTAGCTAAATTTCGGGAAACTGGGTCAGTCGCCAATAAAAAACGCAACATTGAAAATCCGATAAGGAGCGAAGCAATAGAAGTGGGGGTTTTAGGGCAAGTTTATGTAGATCCTACGTAAAGTACCCGCAAGTTGGAGACTGTGTGTGGTGTTAGTCGTCGTACTGTCCAACGGATTCTAAAGGCCCATAGTTTTCATCCGTATAAAATTCACCTGGTACAAGAACTTAATGAAGACGATTTTGATCGGCGATTACAATTTTGTGAAGATATGAGTGAACGAATTATAAACGATGAACATTTTCTATTCAACACTTGCTTTTCCGACGAATGTTCCTTTTTCTTAAATGGCGTAGTAAATCGTCATAACTGCCGATATTGGTCCGATTCTAATCCCAGAATTTATCATGAGGTTCATACACAGCAGCCACAAGATTTTGGGGGTGGTGTCACCCCGCCAAACTTGTGTCTGTTTCATTTTCGATGCGTCGCCCTGTATATCGAGTTTCTTTGGCATATTTGCCAACATCAGCTGACGAAAAAACATACAGAACTTCCTTACCTTCTCGCCTATTTAATTTCCTGGCCTATATTAAGTGTAATATCCAACAAACGTTAGCAAGGAGCACGCAACGTTGTTCATTTTGTGAGGTTTTGCTGTATGGCTCACTTGCCATATTACACTGATCAACAGCCAAAAGATATCCTAAATAAAATCAACAAAATATTACTATTTTTAATGTGCTAAAACCGGAATGAGACTTATTTTTTCAATATTTGTTCAAGTTTTAGAGATACGGTAATTATATGTGTTCCTGCTGTGACAGTGTTAATATACTGTAATTCACAAGAATGCACGTGCTACATTTTTATATTCGACAAGGAAAGATGATGTAATCAGCATGATTGTGTTACGTTATACATACGTGTACATTATATTGTTTTATATTAGCCATTTTTTCCTCAGTTGGCTGACAGCGTTCATGCAAGATGTCTCGAAAGTGTGTAAACAATCCAGATCAGTTTTGTTACGTGTGTGGTGATGTGACTTTTGCGTCTCAGAGACGGTCTATTACTCCACTAATAACAAAGGCATATCAGCTTTATTTCGGTTGTAAACTAGGTGATCAAGACAAATAGTGGGCACCCCACATCTGCTGTAATACATGTGCTTCAAGTCTGAGGAGCTGGTTAAATGGCAGAGAACGGTCTATGCGCTTTGCTGTCCCAATGGTTTGGAGAGAGCCTACAAATCATATTAATGATTGTTACTTTTGCATGGTACCTTGTGTTGGACAAGCCACAGGTATGTCCAAGAAAAAAAAATCGGTTATTAACTACCCAAACATACCATCTGCGATGAGACCTGTGTCTCACAGTGACGAAAATCCTATTCCAAAACCCCCAGAATCCTACACTTGCGAATCAGAAAACGAATCAGATCATGGCGATCGAGTGATTCGTCAGGAAGAAGATATGAAATCAACGTCAAGAGATCCTGATTTTATACCGAGCACGACATGCCACCAACCGCACAAAATAACACAGTCAGAATTAAATGATCTTGTAAGAGATTTAGAACTTCCAAAATGTAAGGCAGAGTTACTTGGATCAAGACTGCAGCATTGGAACTTGTTAGAAGACGATGTTTCGGTATGTGTTTTTCGTAAACGCCACAAAGACTTAGAACCATTTTTCAATATGGAGAATAACTTGGTTTTCTGCAGTCACATTAACGGCTTACTGGCGGCTTTAAATATAAACTATAACCCAGAAGAATGGAGATTGTTCATAGACAGTTCAACATTGAGTTTAAAGGCAATGTTATTGCATATTTTAAATATTTTACCATCTCTTCCTGTAGGGTATGCAGTTCACGTGAAAGAATCATATGACAATATGAAGTACCTATTGACATGCATAAAATACGATGAGCACCAATGGCATATTTGTGGCGATTTGAAAGTTGTTGCACTTTTACTTGGGCTGCAGCTAGGCTACACAAAGTTTTGCTGTTTTTTGTGAGAATGGGACAGTCGGGCAAAGGCACTTCATTACACCAGACAAAACTGGCATGTTCTTCAATTCCTAGAGCCAGGACAAAAAAATGTACAGCATATGCCATTAGTAGATTCGAAAAAAATTTTATTACCACCACTGCATATCAAGTTGGGCCTAATGAAAAACTTTGTCAATGCATTAGATAGAGATGGGCCAGCTTTTCAATACCTGCGTCAGAAATTTCCAAGACTAAATGAGGCAAAGGTTAAAGAAGGTATTTTTGTTGGGCCACAGATTCGAATTATTTTGAAAGATACACAGTTTGAAAACACTTTAACAGGTATTGAAAAAACTGCTTGGAATGATTTCCGTCTGGTGGTCACTAATTTCTTGGGAAATGGAAAAGCTGACAACTATAAAACCCTTGTCAAAAATATGCAGTCATCGTATCAAAAGTTGGGCTGTAATATGTCTCTTAAGATACATTTCCTACACTCACACCTGGACTGTTTTCCTGACAATTGCGGAGCCGTAAGAGCACGGCGAACGTTTTCATCAGGATATTTCAACAATGGAAAAAAGCTACAAGGGAAAGTGGAATCCTTCCATGCTTGCAGACTACTGTTGGACTCTTGGTAGAGATACTCCAGAAACGATCCATTAAAGAACAGGAAAAAGGCAGCGCATATAGTGATTCTTATAAGTATATGAATCTTGTTACTTTTTTTAATATATCCTTAAAAATAAAAAGCTTTTCTAAACCGCAACTAATTTTTTTATTTCATTGTCATTTTTGGATTCAGCGCCCCAAAATTAACAAAGAAGTGCACTTTTCCCACAAGATACAATTAAAAAACTAAAATTTGTTGTCCAGTGTTATCAGGCAGTATACGTTGACCACCAATTTCTCTGCTCTAAGACCCAATTCTCCTGGCCTGTACAGGCTACTCCCGCTCTATTGATCCATCAGCGGAGTCGCAGACAACTCCCGCTGCCAAAATCAGACAGGCCTTGGACAACTCCGGGAGGGTGTGTTTGAAGTCGGGTGTCGGGTCGGCAGAGTGAGGTTAGGAAAAAGGCCGCACACGCAGGGAAGAAATGGAAAAGTTGGATGGTTAGCGAGTGTGTCGGGGGCAAAAGTCACTAGATATGCGAAGAGGTGGAGTGTGAAGAAATTGGGATGAAGGTGGAGTGAGGTGAGTGGATTCCAAGCGTGCATATTTTGTATGGCGATAGGGGTGATTTTCCGCTTAAAGTTTACAAAAGGGCGCGTTAAATCGTATCATTTGTATCTGATCTCATCAGTCTGGATTTCACGCTTGCTGAGGCAGGTTAATCCAAACCGTACCGGTAATATTCTTGAGACAGTTCAGTTTTACTTTATTTATTATAAAGGGTGTTATTTTTTAAAGCATTTTTTTCAGATGTTTTTGGAACCGCTAATCCGATTTGAATGATATTTGGAACACATGTGTTTTGTTCTGATCTTTGACTCTTACAAAAAACCGAAAGAATTCGAGAAGAGTGAAAACTAACCCCATCCCTAGACAGCACAATTTTATCGCAATTCTCCCAACGACTCTGATTTTTGTTTATTTAAAAGATCCCTTTATTTACCTCATTTTTATTTTTGGGCAAACTAACATAGTTCCTACCCACGGAGTTGGTAAATATGCAGTCCGTCTATGTAACCATGACCAACCGCATACAACCATGTTTCATGATTTTCGGCAATCATCAGTACGGTATAGGCGTAGTCGTTGTAGACAGAAACGGAAGGCGACCATATTCAATTCAGCATGAGTCTATTCATGTATACTAAGCGACATATAAATCCGAACACCCCGTTTATATGGTTTTATTTTAATAAAATTTTTTATAAGTACTTAATGAAGCATAATAAGTAAAAAATTCAAAATTATTGCACTGCTTTAAAGCCGTTTGACCTTTAATAATGTGTGGATGCACCCTGATGTGCTACGCATTCTCCAACGCGCCTAGGCATGCTTCTGATCAGGTGGTCAATGTCCTCCTGTGGCATCTCATTCCAGGCAACCACCAACTCCTCTCGAAGTGCTTCTAGAGTCTGAGGAGGACGTTGCAAATTGAGCAATCTCCTAACCATCATATCCCACACGTGCTCAATTGAGGATAAGTCGGGAGATCTTGGTGGCCGTGGTAACAATGTGACATCATTATGTTGAAAGAAGCATATTGTGACTCTTGCAACATGTGGTCGAGCATTATCTTGTTGGAAAGTTGGATCTGCCAGGGTGTCAAGATGGGGTAAAAGATGGGGTTCTAGAACTTCGTGGATATGACGCTGTTACCTCTGATGAAGATTAAAGGTGACCTGGAACCATAAGCTATAGCATCCCAAACCATAACTCCAACAGTGTGATGAACATGTCTTTCAACAAAAAACTGTGGATTCCTCCGTTCACCACGTCGCCTTCTAACCCTGGCACGACCATCGTGCATGCCTAAACAAAATAGAGACTCGTCACTAAAGACAATACTGTTCCATTCCTGATCCCAGAGTGACCGTTGTCTGCACCACTCAAGGCGATTACGTCGGTGTTCTCGAGTTAAAGGGAGGACCCAGTGTGGCCGGTATGAAAACAAGCAAAAACTTCTCATTCGTCGGTAAACACTTCGCATGCCAATAGGTCTTCCGTGTTCTGCAAACCATTCATTTGCAATGGACCTGGTAGTGGAGAAACGGTCCCTTAAGGCCAATAATCTTAGGCGGCGATCTTCACGGTCTGTTGTTCTACGGCGGCGTCCAGTGCCCCTTGCTCTTTGCGTACGGCCTTCTCGAAGCCATGCCTGACAACACCTAACCACAGGGTCTACACTTCTTTGCACTCTAACTGCAATTGCCCGAAAAGGAAGTCCAGCTTCCCGAAGTCCCACTATACGGCCCCTATCAAACTCGCTAAGTTGACGAAATCGTACAGGTCTCCGTACTCTAGGCATCGTAACCGATCGTAAAGGATGTCAAGAACCAAAATCCGCCAACGTTGATTCTTTACTGCGGCTGAAATATTCATTTTTAGAGCGTTAGTGAATTAAAAAAAAGCAGTATAAAAACCGGAATGTCCAACTGACATGGCTGAAAATTTTTTCACTTGTTATTTACAGTAAGATAAATACATTCACCAACTTTTATAAAATAAAACCATTCAAACTGGGTGTTCGGATTTATATGTCACTTAGTATATATTGGCGATAGGTTCGGCAACACTGGACCGCACCGTCCAACGGAAGAAACGAAACCTGCTAGTGGAGATTCGGAACATGTGAAAACGGTACTAAAAGCTCTCACCCACTTTTGAATTTGGAACCTCCAAACTGACTCTCCAATCGTCCGATTAAAAAATATACTTGATGTTAAAGACCAATTATAATATAGCCCAGGCAAAAAGTATTTTTATACGCAACAATGAAAGTATACGGTCAATTGAAAGATTGATGCAACTGATCGAACCAAAGACTCGTACTGAAAACGATAAGAGTAGTAAACAGAAAAAAAAACGCTAAGATTTTATGAGGCAGTGGTGGAGAATATCAAAAATCTGTGTAATAACAACTTTATTTTTTAAAATTCTGAAATTTTTAATCTTTTACTATTTTTTTATTATTATATACAGGGTGTTTCGGTTTATTGTTGCATAACTTTAAGATTCGATAGAACTTTTAAAATTAATGCATAAAGTCTATATAAACATGGGTCGAAAAATGCGTGGCTTCCGAGTTACAGGGTGTTTAAATTTACTTTCTAAAATAGTTTTTTTAAAATATTTCGAACAATATTTGATGTATTACAGTGAAAATTGGTATACAAGGGTTTTTTGGTACGACAAAACGAACTATGGACATAGTTTTACTGCAGCCGCTAGAGGGCGCTCTCTACTGTACCTGTAGTGTATTAAAATGACCGAAAAATTTTTCTTAGTGCAATTTTTTGCTTTTTGAATAAAAAAACTGATTCTTTGCACTTTTCAACATAAAAAAGCTCTCCTGTGAGGTTTCGTTATAGTTAGCCGTTTTTGAGATATTTCGATTTTTAAGGTTCGATACGTTTTTAATTACTTATGGGAAAATAATATTTCTTTTACCTTTTCGATTTGGGCATTACAAGTAATTAAGATGATCGTTTGGATTGTGTTTTTAAACACAGCAATAATTCCTAACTCCAAATAAACACAAAAAACCGGAATATTAATTTGTTTAATTTTCCAATATTATTTTTAACAAATTAAATTAATTATTTACAACTAAAATGCTATTGGATAGTTAGGACATACATACACAATCTAAAGTACTTGCTCGAAATGTAAACCCAATTGTTCAATACACAATTCACATCTACGAATGATCGAACGTGGTATAGCATTAATCAAATAAGGCCGGATTTCATCACATGCATTCCTGATTCTGTCTATTAGCATATCTCTTGTGGTTACGGGAGTCTGGTACACTTTTTCTTTTAGAAATCCCCACACAAAGAAATGTAATGGATTTAGGTCAGGGGATTGTGGAGGCCAGGCGACTGGTCCTCCACGGCCGATCCATCTTTCTGGATAATTTTCGTCTCGCCAGTTTCTAACTATTCTCGAATAATGAGCTGGACAACCATCAAGCTGGAACCAGGCCAATCTTCTTAAATCTAACATAACATCATCCCACATATTTGCATGTTCAGCCTTTAAAAATTCCAAGAAGGTCGCAGCATTTAACCTTGCAGGCAAAAGGTAGGGTCCAAATAGTCGATTACGGTAGATACCAATCCACATGTTCACACTAAATTCATGCTGAAAATTTTTTTCCCGAACTGCATGCGGATTTTCATGCGACCAAATATGTTGATTATGAAAATTTACCACTCCACGTCTAGTGAAGCATGACTCATCGGTCCATAAAACGTTACTTAAAAACTCCCTATTATTATCAGTTCTATCAAGAATCCACTGACAAAATGTGATTCTTCGTTCTCCGTCCCCTGGCTGTAGTTCTTGCACAGGTTGCAAATGGTAAGGACGTCTATGGTTATTTCGAAGAACACGGTGAACATGGCTTGCTGAAATTCCCAAGGCACCAGAAACTATCCTAACACTTGTGGTCGGATCTCTATCAAACTCACGCAGAATCATACGGGTAAATCTGCGCTGACGAACATTTGTGTTTTGATCCCTTTGGAGATTTCCAAAACCATTTTCAATTATTTGGCGATGCACTCTTACAAATACTGAGCGAGTTGGATGTCGTCTGTTTGGAAATCTTCGTGCGTATTCTCTGGCTGCTTCTGGTGCGTTTCCATTTACAAAGCCATACACAAAATGAATATCCGCTAACTCTTGATTGGAGAATAAAAATGATATTTTTATAAAAATAAAACAGGGAAAAGAAACTAAATTTCGTGCATTCACAATTGCAAAAAAACGTTTCAGGTTTCAACAGACAACAAAACTAACTGTCAACTAATTGACGTTTAACCTTATTCTGCTTTCAACTTCAAAAATATTTGCAGGCACAGCCTACTTCTACAAAATTATCGAGACACTGACTTTTTAACGTTATTTTATCATAAATAATTAAAAATGCATCGAACCTTCAAAATCGAAATATCTCAAAAACGGCTAACTATAACAAAAATTCACAAGAGAGCTTTTTTAAGTGGAAAAGTGCGGAGAATCAGTTTTTTTATTCAAAAAGCAAAAAATTGCACTAAGAAATTTTTTTCGGTCATTTTAATATATTAGAGGTACAGTAGAGAGCGCCCTCTAGCGGCTACAGTAAAACTATGCCCATGGTTCGTTTTGTCGTGCCAAAAAACCGTTGTATACCAATTTTTACTGTTATACATCAAATATTGTTCGAAATACTTAAAAAAAACTATTTTAGAAAGAAAATTTAAACACCCTGTATTTCGGAAGCCACGCATTTTCGACCCATGTTTATATAGACTTTATGCATTAATTTTAAAAGTTCTATCGGATGAGGATGACGAATCCTACAAGCAGTTAAAATATTTCTTTTTCCTCAAGACTTTGTTACAGGTAGGAGCTCCGAATAATATGTCAAAACCCTAGCATTCACACACTACTGGGGCTTACATCAGATAGCGTTAGCCGTATGGATGGTTTGTTCCTGTTAATTGAATTTTGAAACGTAATTAACTCTTTATTTCCTG